ATTTTTTGTTGCTTTCACAGCTGCCACCATCAGGGAGCTAGATTGGAAGTGGAGCAGCCAGGACTCAAACTGGTACCCTATGGAATGCTGGTACACAGGCTTAGAGTTAACATGCTATGCCATGGTACCACTCCACCAGGTTGTACCGTTATACTCTTCCATTTCAACCCTGATTCATGTGATTCATGTGAATATTCACAAATCAACAGCAGATCTGGGTGGTAAGGTTGGGAACTCTGAGAGCAGGGACCAGGCCTGGCTCTCCTGGGTGTCAGAATAAGGACAATGTCTGCATCTGCACTGTCCACCACCGTCTCTAGAACCCTTTCACAGCTATGGTCTCATCTGCTCCCTTTGCCACACCTCCCCTGCCCTTCCAGTGAGGAGCTTGGGAGAAGAGATGAGAAGGCAGGATGCCTGCTGCCCAGATGAGGCTGTGAGGCACTAGGAGGATAGCTGAAGAACTGGGGCAGGAAGCAGGCCTCTCACTTCCTACCTTAGGCTGGCTGCTTAGCTTTCTGATGGCTGAGGATGAGTGTTCCCTCATAGGAAAATATTTCCAGGCTCAGCCATGTTCATAGTTTGCCCTGGGGAAGTCACTACGTCATGGTATTGCCTGTTATTTCACTACTCAGGTTGTGGCTGTCAGCCTGTCTTAGGTGAGTCAGCCACACCTGAGCATCTTGTCCCTGGAGGCAGGCAGTTGACCAGGGCAGCTACCAGGAGAGGATCCATCTGAAGGAAGCCAAGGGGGTGTGAGCGACGCTCATGTGGTAAGGATGACTCACAGCATCCCGCACTGGGACCCTCCCCTCCCAGGCCTGCAGTGTGACTGCTCCTCCTTGCACCTTCTAGTCTGGTCCCATAGCAGCCCCAGCTGCCTCCTCTTTTTACTTGCCCGGGCGCTGAGGGTAGGGAGGGGATTGCCCACCTGGGGACATTCTCATAGTCTCCAGTTTTGGAGGGAGGATATTTCTGTTACCCACCACCACTTACTGGTATCAAGTCCTGGGACCCCTGGAGGGGACCCTGGGTCAGAGTGTCTCCTTCCTGACCCCAGAGCTGGAGGGGAGGGCTCACAGGTTCTCGTCCTGCTCCTCCACCTGTACACATCTGGGCAGCAGGCGTCTGGCTCATTCAGGGATCACAGCTGGTGGCCACCTCTCCGGGCCCAGGAGACTGTCCCCTTGAGTAGAGGCTCCAGCCCTTGACCTGCTAGTCCTTGAGGGGACTCAGGTAGCCCAGGCCACCCCAGCTTGCTGGCTAAAGCCATCCTGAGGCTGTCCTAACTCAGGCCTGGAGTCCCAACTGCCAGGATCGGATTGGAGATAGCTGGCCTTGAGCAGCCAGGACCCCGTGGGCACCTCTCCCTCTCTGCATGGCTGATTCCAAGAACTGGACTTGGTACCTGGGGTGCTGCAGGTGCTTGGCCCTGTGAGAGCCATCGGCCTTGCTCCCTTTGACATCAACATGACTTTCTTCCCAACACTTGCCTTGACTCCCAATGGCGAGAAGCCGTCTACTGCACTCTGCTCTGAGTGTGCATCGCCAAGTAACTCCTCCATCTCCTGGCAAGGACAGTGCGGTACACCTGTTCCAAATCACGCCACTTCAGTTCCTGGGTTTGTTCCTCAGGGAGAAGTGACAGCCCACCTTTAAACACACACACACACCTCTGTCATGTCTGACCATCAGCCATCTCTCTCATTCTGCAAGTACTCTGACTTGTTTTGGAGGAAGTCTTTCTCTGCATCTGTTTTCATAAGTCAACATAACCCAGGATGGGTTGGGTGCAATAACGTAGCAGTTAAAGTCCTCGCCTTGAACGTGCCAGGATCCCATATGGGCACCGGTTCTAATCCCGGCAGCCCCGTTTCCAATCCAGCTCCATGACTGTGGCCTGGGAAAGCAGTTGAGAATGGCCCAAAACTTTGGGACCCTGCACCCACATGGGAAACCCTGAAGAAGCTCCTGGCTCCTGGCTTCAGATTGGCTTTGCTCTAGCCATCACAGCCACTTGGAAGTAAACCATCGGATGGAAGATTTTCCTCTTTGTCTCTCCTCCTCTCTATATATCTGCCTTTTCAATAAAAATAAATCAATCTTAAAAAAATATAGAACCCAGGAGCCTGAGCCTATTGGCAGTTACAGGTCTGCAAAGTTTGCCCAAAATTTATATATTTATTTTTTAAAATGTATTTATTTTTTACTTGAAAGTTAGAATTACACACACACACACACACACACACACACACACACACACACACACACACACACACAGAGACATCTTCCACCTACTGATTCATTCCCCAAATGGCCACAATGGCCAGAGCTGAGCCAGTCTGAAGCCAGGAGCCAGGAGTTTCTTCTTTGTCTCCCATGTGGGTGCAGGGCTCAAGGACTTGAGCCTGATGCCCTGCTGTTTTCCCAGGCCATCAGCAGAGAGTTGGATCAGAAGTTGAGCAGTCTGGAATTGAATCAGCATCCATGCAGGACGCCAGAGTCAAAGGTAGAGGATTAGCCTGCCAGCCCCGACCGAAAAATTTACTTGGCAAGAACGCTGATTCTCTCCCCAAATGTCCACAATCCAGGTTTCCTACCTGGGTGGTAGGGGCGTGAGTGCTTGAATTGTCACTCTTGCTGCCTTCCAGGTACTTAGTATCTGCTACTGGAAACAGAACAAGCTTAATGGAGGTTCTCTAAGAGAGGGCACAGACTTCCCAAGGAGTGTCATAAACACTCCTGCTCCCAAACCTCTTTCTGAAGCATCACAGAGTTGATACTTTAGGGTTTGTGGGCCCAGAGGCAAAAGTGAAGCTATGATGTAGGTGCTCATGTAATCATTCGTAATGTAGTCGCTTGACCTTGAACTTGCTGGATCCAGTCACTGAGCCCAGGTGTAAACCTAAGAGCCCTTTGGGACATCTTCCTGTAGATTGTCTCACCCCTGGAAGCCAATGTCTGAGGGTTGGGGGGAACAGGTTTGCCTGGAACCCCCAACTTGACCCATCAGCTGCCTCCGTGCAGCATGTGACATGAGGACAAGGCAGAAACAAGCTGGATTCATTCTTTCCTGGATGCGCCTTGAGGAAGCCGTTGGCAGTGCCTGTACTGAGGCCCACTGGCACAGGCTTCTGTCTGTCCCCAGCTTGCTTTCCAAGATTCCTTCCTAGGCTTTCAACTTCCCTCAGGGACCCAGACTTGCTGTCTGTTGCTAGTGGCAAAACGCCCTGACCAACCTGTGCCCCGGGGACCTCCCTTTTGGGCAATGACAGGTGCATTGTTCTCCACCACAACTTGCAACCAAGAATGAGCACCATGGAGTTGGGTCCTGGGCTCAGTGGTTCAGTTGCCTGCATCCCATGTTACTGCATCTGGGCTTGATGCCCCTGACTCCAGCTGCTTGCTCATGCAGACCCTGGTAAGCAATGATGACAGTTCAAGAGATTGGATTTCTGCCACCTACCTTGATCTTAACTGAGTTGTCAGCTTTCAGGTTGGCCTGACCTGGCCCAAGCATCGTCTTCATCCTTGCAGGTAGCTGGGGAGTGAACCAGCAGATGGGAGCTCTGTGTCTCAAATAAATACATGAATAAATAGAAGTCAGTTAGCATGCTTGACTCACCAGGCCCATGTGCACATGAGCAAGCATGCCCACCCTCTTCCCTTCTGCCTTGCAGTGTGCATCCCAGGCATGTCCCCCTCCAAGCTCTGCAGGGAGTACCCAGAGGTTTCCTGCTTGATTCGCTCTCCTCATTTTTATAAAGATTTATTTATTATTTGGAAGTCAAGGGTTACACAGAGAGAGCTTCAATCCCCAATTGGCTGCCAATAGCTAGAGGGCTAGGACAGAGAGAAGCCAGGAGCCAAGTCTCCTGTATGGGTGGTGAGGATCCAAACCACTTGGGCCAGCCTCCACTGCCTTTCCCAGGCCATTAGCAGGGAGCTGGATCAGAAATGGAAGAGCCAGGACATGCCTGGTGCCCATATGGATTGTCAGGGTTGCAGGCAGTGGCTTTATTTGCTAGACCACAGCACTGGCCCCCTCTTGCTTGATTCTCATCAAAGGCATTAGAACATGCAGAGCTCATTCTGAGGCACCTGCAGGCTGGGCTAGCCCTCTTAGGAGGCTCTCGCTGATGCTAATACCACCTTCTGGAAGGAACGATTATGCCTTCTGCCCGGTGCCCACAGCTCAGCACTGCCAAGAAGTTCCCTCCTGCCCATCTTCCATCTCCCACCCCACAGAGAAACTCTGGTCACCCTCAAGAGACCCAGAGTTGGAGGACATTGGGGGCACCTGTGCCTTATACCTGCTGACCCCTGCACACAAAGGTCCCTGGGTACACACTGTACATTCTGGGGGTACCTGTATGACTCCCAGTTCTATCTGTTGCGGGGGAAGCAGGCTGAGGTATGAGAATGATTGGCCGCTAGATTCTGACCATCAGTCACTTTCTGGAAACTGGGATCAGTGAGCCTGAGGGTACATGGGGGTATGCTGGGTGCTGAAACTGTAAGGAGGGTCAGAGACATAGCCTGGAGAGGGCCCCCAGGAAGCAGAGCCCCCATGGAAAGCTCTCCTTGGAGGGGGTCAGACGCAGGCAGCCAGAGTTGGGGCCTGCTTAACTATAGAACCTAGCTGTGCCATCTCTGTCCAGCCCTAAATGCTTCAGAGCCCTCCCTCTGGGGCCTTGGTCCTTAAACCCACAAAGGGCCTTAAGACCTGCCATCACTGGACAGCCTGAGCCACTGATGGCATGAGCTCCCAGGACCATGTAAGGACCTGGCCCCATCTGGATCCCACTCCCCAAGGCTCATTCTCCCTGTGCCCACCCACTGCCCTCTTCCTGGGTTCTAGGTGACTCAGTAACACCTAGAGGCCTTGGCAGCTTCCGTGTGTGTCCATCAGGGTGACAGGGCAGGGGCAGCAGATTGGCACACAAGAATAAGACCCAAACCAGCCCTTACCATCCACAAAATAGCTGACCGGTCAAACCTTCATTTTTTGTCCATTTATTTAGAAAAAAATTAACATGGGCAAATGAGATACCTCAGTGTTACAACAGAGTATAGAAATGTCTAGCAATAGTCAAATAATCTGATCTTTAAATACAAAATAACCACATGAACACCTAATATACAGGTTTCATCTGAATACATATTTATTAGATAAATATTAGAGGTCGCCACATCATCTAACTACATACAGCTTTGCAAGACTAGAAATCACAATTAGTTTTCTGACCAGTCGAGGGTATGAAATGATTGCATTGTAGAGACAACGTACAAGGACGAATGAGGGTTCCTGTGGCTGTCACTTTCAGGCTGCACTGGCGGGGGTGTCGATGTGTGCACATGACATCATCTGCGATCATGATATCAAAAATTATACAAAGTGTGAATTTGGTTACAATTTTCTTCTGAAGTCCCCAGTTGCTTCTCATTGTTTTCCATAGCACCCTAGAAATTACACAGGTGGCAGGACAAGCACGCTGCGGCTAAATAGTACATGTAAGTCAAAAGAAAAACAAAAAACAAAAACCTTTTCCACACAGGGGGCCGAGTATATTACATGAGTGAGACAAACGTGGAGAGCTCACAAACACTAACAAACGAGATCTAGTTTTTCCACGTAAGATGGAGTTCCAAGCCTCTTTTTTTTTGTTTTGTCTTGTAAAATAAAAACAATACACATTCCGAGAGAAAAGAATGCATCTGTTGACGTGTCTATTTCTCATTTACATATGTACACACATCCCTTGGGATCATGCTGCTGATATTTTCTTGTCCGGATGAGGCAGGCCCGGGTGTCTCCCCCAACCCCAGTTGGGGAACGCCTGTGGTTTTGTGGGGGTTGGGGTGGGGGGCTTCCATTAAGGAACAAGGGCTACAAGTTTTTTGTTTTTTTTTTTTTTTAAATAAAATGGCTACAGAACATGGAACACAGATAAAGCTTCAAACCAAGAAGATGGGGGTGACTGCCTGCTCTCTGCCTGGCGGACTGGTTTGCTGGCTGGCGAGTGGCGGCAGAAATGGACCTGGGGGTTGGATCGATGCTTGTCCCACAGGGTGGCTTGCCAAGGTCTTGTTTTTCTTTCCCTCCCCCCGCCAAGGTGACTTAGGGCTGAAGGCGGGAATCTGGAAGGATGGGCAGTTGTCTTCTCAGGCTTGTGCCTGCCTTGCTGACACGCTGCCTCTTGTTGCTGGCTCCTGTGGCAGCCTGCCTGAATCCCCACCCTTCTTGACTTTGCCTTTGTACCCCAAGGTCACCCTGGAAGAGGACAATCCCCCACTTCCCGCCCCAAGTACTAGGGAGCTTCAGGCACCACGATCCGGGTCCAGCCTCTCTTGGATGAACTTGCTGGTAGAGAGGCCTGCTTGGGAAGGGACCCAGGGGCTAGTGTCAGGTGCCAAGGCCAGAGATGACTGGGGTTGGGGGAGCCCGTGCTTTGGCGAGCATATAGCCTTGGGCACTGGGAAGCCATAGATAGACCTATGAGTAGAGTCTGTCTAGGCATAGCAGGGCAAGAACCTGCCAGGCAAGAACCTGGAAAAGTCACATTGGGCCAAGCATCAAATGGCAGGGAGTGGAAGCTTGGAAGGCAGGTGTCTGCCAAGTGTGGCTGGGGCAGATGGTCCAACACAGAGCATGGCCAGCTATAGGGCTACAAGCTGCCCAGCAATAGCTGGCTTGGAGATGGCTTGGGACAGTGGTCACCTGGCTTCCTGGCCCCCCAGTGCAGCCACTCACCCGGATGTCCCTCATCTGTACAATAGCCCTGGTTGCTTTTTTGTTTTTGTTTTGTTTTTTTAAAAAAATAAGAAGGAAGAAAGAAAGAAAACAGAAGGACTCAGTTTTTGTCATTGAGTCAGGTATTTTAAAAACACCAGCAAAGGCTATAACCAGGTCATGAAAATGTTGAATATTATCAAAGACGATACTAAAATATTCACAAAGATATTTACAAAAAGCATTTCTTAAAATAATTGATTTGCATACTGAACGCTATCTGGGAAAACCTCAACAAACGGGACAGAGGAAAAAAAAAGGGGGGTAGTAGGTAAGGGTGGAGTGGGGACAATGACAACTCCAACAGAGAACCTTGTGCCAAGGGCTGTTACTGAAGTCAGCAGCTGGGGCCACCTTCCCGGTACACAGGAGTGCTGGGGACCACCCACCATGAGGAGGGACAGGAGACCGACAGTGACCGAGGATGCTGGCCGGGAAAGGGCCCAGCAGGCGGCAGCAGGGAAGGGCGCAAAGAATTTACAGACAGGACCCAAGTGAGTGGACGGTCCCGATGTTAACCACGGGCTGTGCAGCTCAGGGGAGCAACCCACGAGCCTGGGACACAGGCAGACTCAGGACACGCTCCCCGAGGAGGGCAAGGCCAGACTGAGCTGGGCAGGGAAGGGAAGACCAAAAGCCGTCCCCGCTGAAGCAAGAACGACCTCTATAGTCAGGGTAGACTCGAAAGAAAGGGGAGGCAAGGCTGGCGGCCAAGGGCAGTGTCCGAGGCAGCCATGGGACGCACGGCAATGGACACAGCCCTGGGCACAGGCACAGACGGACAGAGGCTGCAGACATCCGGGACCCCTGTGCCTCCTTTGCCTCGCTGCCGTCCCTCTGATCAAGAGAACCAAGACACACAGGGAAACAGGTACCCCCTAGCACAGTCTTGGAAGGGTGGGTACGGGGGGGGAGGGGCGCTGGGTGAAGCAGAAACTGAATACATGGAGAAATTATTTACTTTCTGTCCAAGTCCAACATAATTGTCACTGCTTAAAAATTGGGGGTGGGGGTGGGGTGGGCAAAGCTGCAAGTGTGACACCAGCTGGCAAGCAGCCCCCAGTTCTCCACCCAAGGACACGCTCCCAACTGGGTCCATCCGTGCTCTCTGCCCTCCAAGGCCCGGTGCTGGTCTGACTCGGAAGGTCATGCTTCCCCCCCACCCCCACACTTTGCTCCACGCACTGTCCTGGTTCTGGGCAAGCCCTGAGCCCCTTTCCCACCAGTCCCCAAGCAGGAGTGGGCAGACCCTCTGTCAAACACACAAGCATGTCCTTCTTCACGGTCTGAGAGTGCTGTCAGGGTGGCTTGGCTTAGAGGTCAGGGGTCAACCCAAGGACCCCTGACCCCTGAGAGATGTTCCTTCCCAGAGGTTTGTGCTTTTTGGTGGTGGTGGTGGTGGGCAGGCTGATCTCCCTGCCACCACTGTCACTGCTCCTCCAAGGTCTGGGCCCCCACCCTTGGATTTCAGGGTAGGGGAGCCCTTTCTCTCAGGCTCCACAGTCACTTGAAGGAGGCTCTGGGCCAGGAAGCAGGGAGGGTTACAGTCTAGAAAATGGAAGAACTTTGGGGCACACTGGAAGGTCACCTAGAGTCGGCTCCCACAGGGACCAGAAGCTGTCAGTGCTACTGCCGCTGCCGGGCACCTCTCGCAGGGCCGGGTCCCCCTTAGGGGGTTGTCTTCGGGGCCTGCTCAGAGCGTGGGCCCAGGCCCAGGGCCGACAGGCAGGAGGTGGGCCGCAGCTCCACACGGCCTCCTCCACATCCACATCGAGGTTGCAGCAGGGGAGGGCTCCCCGGCCCTAGGCCTGCGCCTCTGGGCGAGGGAGACTGAGCCAAAGGCCCGGGCTCCCGGGAGGAGAGCATGTAGGGCAGACGGGGTAGGAGGCTGAGTGGTAAGGGAGGACTGGCCCCAGCGGGGATGGCCTTCAGTTGTTCTCAAAGAGGGACAGGAGGTCATCGTTACTATTGCTTGGCAGGTCGGGGGGGTCCAAGTAGGAGAGGAGCTCGTCAGGGTTGGTGAGTTCTGGAAGGAGCTGGAAGAGAAGATGCATAGATATCCAGATGATGGGTGGCTTGGGATGTGGCCATGTACCTTCCCTCCACCTGTCCCCTGCCCCCAACAATCTAGCCCCTGCACCTCGCCAGTAGGCCTACCCACTGTGCGCGCTCACCCACCACTCTCACTATGAATTCAACCCAGCTGCTGAAACCTAGGCTGGACTGGGCCCAGAAGAGCTGGGTAGGTCCCAGGGCAAGTCAAGCGGGATTCCTTCTTGCTCAGTGTCCACTGCCCCCCTTGGGTCATGCCACGAGCAGCCACGGGTCTCTGAGGAGCCATATGGTCCCTTCAGTTCCTTCTCCCCTAACCCCCGGGTCCTCCCTAGAGCTTGTTCCTGGTCAGGAGGTGGTGGACACGCCTGTGACTGGCCTAGGTGACGGACTGTCCCTCTATCTGCCCTGTGACCTGTTTATGCCTGCAAGTCTCAAAGTTGGGTCTGCACAGTGAGCCCTGTGAGCAGGATTCCAGTGAGAGCAAAGGGTGTGGGGTGGGCACAGTCCCAGCTCCCAGGTGGGCCTGGGCACTGGCAGGGAGGGACTATGTCCAGCCACCATCATACACGCCCTCCTCTAGATGGCTCAGGTCTCCAGCTGTCCTCTCCTGCCCATGCCACCCCTCCCACTTCCTCGCCCCCTTCCCCTTCCCCACCCTTGCCCTGGCACAGGGCGGGGTACCCTGGAGTGAGCAATGGAGCAAGCGCAAGCAGGGCATGCACACATGTGGACAAGAGAACTGGAGACAGACACACACACATGCGCACACACACACACACACACCACACACACACACACCACCAGCATGACAGACAGAGGGGCCCTGTCACTCCAGCCCCTGCCCTGCCTGGGGCCAGAGAGGGTGGCAGACACAAGAAGGGCAAGCTCAACCTGAGGGGAGGGAGAGGACCCTGGTGGAGTCTGGAAGGTCTTGGGTGTGAGATGGGCTGGGACTAGGGAACAGGATGGTGGCCACGGGTGGTCAGGAGGGGGTGGCAAGGGTGAGCATCTTGGTGGCACTTGCACTCTAGTTGGGGCTGCCTGGCTTGGGAATCAGAGGGCACTGATGGGGGGGGCCAACCCACTACCCACCCATGTCCTCCATGATCCCTCAACACCCTCCCCCTTTTCTCGGGCAGGTCCCGGGCCAAGGCAAGTGGTAACCCCCAACTTACATCCAGCGAAGGCTCCGGCATGTCGGATGCTCCCTGCGCTCCGGCCTGACCCTCTAAGGCTGAGGAGGGGTTAAAGGTCAGGTCGCTGTGTGGATGGCTGCTGGGAGCGGCCTGTGGCGGCTGCCGGGGAGGCTGGGAGGAAGGAGGAGGAGGAGGAGGAGCCCCACTGTGATGTAATGGAGGCCCTGACTGGTTGCTGGGGTGTGGAACGTGCAAACCTTGTTGTATGGAGGGATGGGGCTGGTCAGAGCTGCCAGCGTGTGGCATCTGTGGAGGAGGAGAGAGCGGGAGAGAGAGAGGTGAGGTGACGCGGCTCAGCCACGGATGCCTGGAGACAGTGACGCCCGACACGACTGGGGCGGTATGCACCCCTGACACAGTCCTGCTATGCATGGCCCTGTGCTCCCCGCGGGCCGAAACACATGCACACAGAGGCCTTCTCCGAAGTGGAGGCCCGGGAGACCGGCCTGGCCGCTCGGCCACCCCGCCCTGGACATTGGCACCACAACAAACAACAGCAAGGGCGGGATGGAGAAGCAAAATGGACATGCTCCCCTGGTGGTGGTGGTGAGGGGCTGTGGCCGGCAGTGGCAGCGTGGTGCAGGCCCTGGGCCCCGCCAGCTGGGTGGCGGAGAGCAGACACAGACACACAGCATGGGCAGGTGTGCAGCTCAGGATGGGGTCTGCGCCCTTCTCCCCCAAGTCCCCTGATCCTAGGAGCTCCCATCTGGGAGTGATGCTGGGTGCTCAAGGCCTCAGAGGTGCGCCATCCGCCAGTGGTGCCAAGGATTCCAGGTCTCCAAGGACATGGGGGATTCCATAGGATGATTTATGAAGGAGCTCCCTGCTGAGGCTGGGGCTGGTACCTCTCTGGCGGGTGCCACACCGGAAAATGGGAGGGTCCAGGGCTGGGGAACTATTGGCCCCCTTCTCCACTCCGAGCATACCCACTCTCACCCTCTGCCAGGGAGGGTCTCTCTCGCACACCATGCTACTCCCTGGACCAGGCTTCCTGAGCCCACCAGTTTCCTCCCTCTTTGCCACACAGAAAGCACTCCCACGTTTCTCCGTGGCCGTGGGAAAGGCAACAGAGCCCTCCACGCTGTTCCGCACATCCTACTTCCTCCACCCGTGTCTCCCAAAGCTGCCCCCTTGGGACCTGGCCCTGGCTACAGGGTCTAGCCAGGCTATACAGCATCCTTCCAGCCCCAGACCCTGAAAACAAGGCCCGATTCTGCTTGATGGTAGGGATGGAGAGGCCAAGGGGACACGAGAAGGGGGTCACCATGGCTTCCATCTCTCAGTGTGGACTGACTCAGGCCTGAGGGTGCAGCAGCAGTGAGTGGCTCCCCACCCCTGTGATCTGCCCAACTCAGGACAAGCATGTCCTGAACCTTCTGACGGTGGCTGTCCCCTTGACCTCAGCACTGGCTGCCACATCTCTGAGACTCAAAGTAGCAAGTGTTCTGTGCGCCTTGCTCGTGCACCTCTCAACCACGGTGTGGCAGGGGAGAGTGCCTGGGCAGGTCAGGGCCTGGTTAGGGCCTTCTGGCTGCTCCCTGTGCGTTCCTGCTCAGTTGGGAGTCCAGTTGCTGTCAGCTGGGGTCCAGATCTACCTGTGACTGCATTCCATGGCACCTGGCACAGGTATACAGGCTGCCCTCTGGCCAGAGCTCAGAAATGACGAAGCATAGGACCTAGGTAGGCAGCATTGTGGTGGGGTGGGTGTGGGTATTCTGAAGTCAGCCCACAGACGCAGGTCTCACTGCACAGAACCCCGGCAGCAGAACCCACAGAGGCAGGAGCAAGCCTTGTTGGGGACAGGAAGCACATGGTGTTCCCATGGCTGTTTTCCCACATGTCAAAGGTCTGGGGTATGGGTTGGGGAGGGGTCCAGGTGTCACCTAGGCACAGGATGCTAGGGGCATGGCTAAGGGACAAGGGCCAGAGGAAAAGCCTTACGGGGCATGGAGTAACTCGCAAACACCAGCCCAAATGCTGAGGCATTTGCCACCTGGCATCCTGGGGGGGAGGGGGTGGTCTCAGGTCTCAGCGAAAGGCTGATACCTACCAGCCCCCAGGGCAGCCCTGGGCCTAAGGCAGGGCCAGTCAGCATCAGATGTGCACAACATAACAATCCTACTGTCGCATCTTTCTGGGCCTCTCAAAGCAATGGAGAAGGCTGCTGAGAAGCCTTCCGGGTACCAATGCCCCAGCCAGCCCACTGCCAATCACTGCCAGGTCCTTGGGGAAAGCCACACCTCCTGATGGAAGAGGCCTCAGTTTCCCCCAAGCCCCAGCTGATCTTCTTCTCCTGGGTCCTGCCTTCCTGAGCACAGTCAGCCTCCTAAATCTGCTCCTCTACCCCAGCTTAACTACCCTGTGTGGATGCATCCAGGGCTCACCGGAAGAGGCCTTTCAAGCTGTGCCTCCTCCTGCAGCCCTCCACACAGCAGGAAGCCCATGGAAGTCTGGGGCAAGCATGGAAGGGGCTTCCTCCAGCAACATGGCATGTGGCACAGGCCATGGAGGCCCTGCCAGCAGGCAAATGGGACTCGCTAGCATTTCTTTCTGCAGGTGGGATTCAGGCCTGCATGTGGGACATGACTCTGGGTGGCTAGAAGCATGCAAAGTGAGTGGGCAATAATAGTGCATGTGTGTCCGGGAGCAGCCAGAGGCCCACCCAATGGCCACAGAATCTGATCTCCTATGGGTGAACAGCCCAAGTTCCTGGTCCAGCCTGTCTCCTTTGAGCCTCAGATCTAATTTTTAGCACCACCTCTGCCTGGAAGGGGGCTGCTCCATTAGATCTGCAGAGCGGCCAACAGGGGTGGGGGAAGTGCTGAGGACGGTGAGAGGTGCTCAAGGGTGAGGGGCAGGTACTCACAGCTTCCTGCATGGGGTGGCTGAGGGGCTTCTCGAGGGCGGCCATGTTGTTGGGCATGTCTGGGGGATGGGAGAGCTGGGGGGGCCCGTGCATGAAGTCATTCATGGATGTCCCTCCGGGGTTCCCGTGGGGGAAATCGAAGTTGCCATGGCCCTGGTAATTGTTGCCTATGGAGGGAACGAGACAGGAAAAGATGGTTGAGCAGAAAGAAGAGCTGGGAGTTTGTCAAAGCTAAAACCAGGTCCTCTGCCTTGGGGTTGGCATCTACAGCCTTGAGTTCCTGGGCTGTGCCATGTAGCAGCCTCATCCCAGCCTGGGTATCCCAGTATGTGAGCTGCTCTATTATGAAGGACATGCAGAGATGGGAGAGTGGACACGCAAGGCTCCTGCAGGGGCAAAGGATGCAGAAGCAGGCAGAACTTGACAGGATCTGCTAAGCTCTGTCCCCATGGGCTGCATTTTGTAGCCAAGAAGAGCCCAGTCCATGGTGGGCAGCCAGGTTCTGCCAAGTGCTAGAGAAAGCCACGTCAGATTCACAAGGATGACGTCAAAAGCCAGCCATCTGGCCTCCTCCCTGTCCTCTGCCATGAGGCAATGGCAAGAGACCCAGCATGAGCATGCTGGGGGTGCTGCTGGGCCCGCTCATGGCCTGGGGACCCAGAACCCCTGGGGCTTGAGGTTGGGCTGCTGTATAGGAACCAAGGGTATAAGGATGAAGCATGGTCTGGGTAGCAGGTGAGTAAAGGCCAGTGACAGCAACCTTGGTGGCCATAGTTTTGCTGTAGCTCCTTCTGTCCTTGGATGGGTGGGAAAACTGCATGGGGTAGGGACTATACAGACACTACAGAAAGACACAGAGGGTCTTGGGAAGGGCCTAGAATCCCGTGTGTGTGTGTGAGCAGCCTCAATGAGAACTGGCAGGGATGAGCTGGCACCTGTGTAACTTGGCAATATAGGTTGGCTATAGCAGCAGGGCCCATGTGCGGTGTACCACCTCTGCTTTCTTCTTACTGCACACTTTGGCTGCCATCACCTGCCCTCCATTTGCCCTGAGCCCCCAGTTCCTGGCCTGACCTTACCCACCTTGGCTGCTATAGTCGCTGTTGTTGGTGCCCCCAGGGGGTGGTGGGAGCGGGTAGGGGGATGGGCCAGGGCCCAGGGCTGCAATCATCTCCATGACATTGGGCATGATCATCTGGCTGGGGCTCATGGTCTTGAAGCGCTTGGAGGGGATGCCGTCGGGGTCGTCCTTGATGTGCAGGTCTGACTTGATGGGCACCGGCCGCCAGCTGCACGTGGGGTCGATGGTGACTTCTTCGAATTCGGAGCTGGAGTGTGAGAGGGTAGGAACACAGCTAGGACTCAGAGAGGCCAGGTCCCGGATACACACACAGGCATCTGTGCCAAGGCCCATGCTGAAATCTCAGAGCATGCTGCTTGACCTACACCCTGAGAGCTATGGAGATCAGGCCTAGGACAAGCCTGCAGGTGGGCAAGGCCAGGGCAGTTGGGCTCAAGTCTCCCACCGGGGGAACAGCTGTGTTCCTCAGAGCCCCAAGGTTAAGAGCAGACAGCTGAGGGCTCTAGGGTGGTCAGGGCTGTCTGTGTGTTCACCCGCCTCAGCTCAGGCTGCATTCTCACTGCCCCCTCCCAACTCCCCGCATGCCCCTGTCTGGGGCGCACTTACTGTTGGATGGCGTTCAGGATCCCCCACATGTACTGGTCCACCTCCAGGCCCTCGAGGAGAGCAGTTTTACTGGAAAAGGAAAGGGAGTTTAGCCTGGGGTCCTCGATACAAGGGCAGAGGGGCAGCCCTGCCCTCCCTGTGACCAGCGAAGGCTTGGCCCCACTGCTGGTAACTGCTGGAAGCACAGGTGGCTGCCCACAGCCCTGTGTGGTGGGTGGAGGAAACCGTGCTCCGGGGTGGGCCTCATCACTCACTTGCACACAGGACACCTCCAGGTGCCTCGCTCACAATTCAGCTGCAGGTACGACTCCAGGTCAAAGCACTGTAGAAGACAGACAGGCGGGTGAGACCAAGAGCAACAGGGCAACTTGCCAGGCACCATGCTGCCAGGGAGGGCAGGCAGAGGGGAGGTGGTGGGAGAGACTCAGGGCAGGGGGCATGAAAACCGGGTCGCTCTTTGCAGGTCCCATGAAGAACCGGCCAGACTCCTGAATGGTGTGCCCAGTGGCGGCATCCCTGTGCCACCCTCCATGCCCCAGATGAATTCTCCTCCAAGAAACCCTCCACTCAGGCCTGCTCACCTGCTCTGATCCCACAATAGTCCCTCTTTTAAGGTCAGAGTAGCCTGGTCCAGGCACGGAGGGCACATCTGACCAAGTCACTGTGCCCATGACATTCTCCCACTGGGAAGCCCTGGGGCCAGGCTATGTGCAGATGTAGAGGCGAGGAGGGTGGCCCAGCCCCTCTGCATGCATCCTGCCCCTAGGAGACATTTCCTAAGCCAGCAATGCTAGCGAGTGCGCCCCCCCCCGCCCCCAGACTGCACACCCTCCTATCACCACCTGCCCCAGCTGTGACAGCCACAGGCAGTTGCTGAGCAGCACCTGCTTGGGCCAAGGGCCTGGACACACACAGCAGGTGCCCTGCTCTGGGGTCCTGAGTGAGCCCTGGCACCTGGACAAGCCCCTGACATCTTGCCTGGGGCATGGCCAGCCTACAGCCTGAGATCAAAAGATAAATGATTGCTCGTGAGGGTGTGAAGGCAGCGGCTGATGGCCAGTTCATCCTTAAGGGTCAGTTACGGGCCTCAGTATCCCTCCAGCCCCAGCTGTGGGCCCTGGGGGTTGGTACAAGCAAGGCTCACCTGGACGTGCTTGCAGTCGTGGCCACGGGCAGGCAGCTGGATGCGTCGGAATGTGATGGGGCACTTCAGAGAAACCTTGATGGCCGTCTGCTCCACGCCGTCCTCCCCACTGAGGGCCGTGCTGCCGGACGAGGCAGCCACGCTGCTGAAATTGCGCTTGACTGCAGGGGGGGAGGCATGGGCAGCTGAGGGGTGCTCTGCAATCTCCCACTTCTTCCTGGGGCTCTACCCATCCTTACGGTTCCCTGGTGGGGTCCACTGAAGGACAAGTACATGTGCCCCAGGCCTCAGCTCAGACTATATGTGACCCAGATGGCAGCTCACCTTGGCGACACATGTGTAGGGCACTGGCTTGGGGAGGAGGCACTGCACAATAGGCCTTCATTAGGCAGGAGTGACTCCATGCAAAGCTGATGGAGACAGAGGCTGGTCCTGCCTGGTCTGATTCACTGGGTCTGTGAGGGTAGATTCTAAGCTAAGCCTCGCCCTCCACTAGACCTTGAGCAGTTGCTGCTGAGGCAAGGATCCCAGTCTGGAACCAGTCTCTGAGCTTATCTCTCAGTACATTCCTGGCTTGGGCGATCACCTCCTCCAGGAAGCCCACCTGGCTTGTCTTAACCATGACATGTTGTTTCTGTTGGCTGTGGGTGTCATGTAACTGGGCAGGTCACAGAATCCCCACTGAGCCCTACAAGTGCATTTGAGCATCATAACAGCCAACAAGAAAGAACGGGCACTGGGATTCAGGAGCCAAAGGTCAGCCCAAGATGAGAGCAGTGACCCGCTGGGTCCCCACCAACTCACTTTTCGTGATGCAGTGCTCTGCCGGCAGGAGGCGTTTCTTAAGGAGGCCTTGCAGCACAGAGCGGACAGAGGGCCTGTGCACCAGCTGCAGCACAAACAGGTGGGACTGTAGGAGAGAGAGGCATGGTCAGACCCAGTTCCCACAACCATCAGAGACGTCGCTGCAGGAGCCGGGAGTCTCTGAAGCCAGGCTGTGTCCTTTCAGAGCCCGGGCACCAGGCAGGGGTCGCCACTCTGCCTCTGCTCTAGGCTAACAAGAGGGGCTTGGAGACACACACACACACACACACACACACACACACACACACACACACACTCACTCACTCACTCACTCACACACCACCCCAGCCTGGGGAGGTTTAGGGATACGTGGTCTCAAGCCTGAAGTCCACTCTGCTTTCTGACCTCAGGGGACTCAGTTCCATCTTCACTGCTGAGAAGCCTTCCAGGATTGCACATTCTAACCACCCCCTGGGGGCTCCCCAGTGATCTGCAGTCCTGGGATGCTCATATCTGGCCCTGATGCCCCTCCTTATGTCAGTCCCAGCATTGCAGCATTTCCAGGGAAGCCAGCACAACAAGGCAGGCTGGGTGCTTCCTTGCAAGTCTGCCCGGCAAGCTGACTGTGTGCCAGGTTCTGCGGTCTCGGGGAGGAAGTGGGAGGCTGGCAGGAGGGACATGGTCCCAGTTGCACGAGCTACTTTGAAGGACAGGTGCAGACACACAAGGATTAGGACATCAGGGTTGGGTGAAGAAGGGTGAGTCAGCCCTGTGTTCAGGGGAGCTGGGGCAGTCACAGCAGGAACACTTCCGAGAGATGAGGAAAGAGCAGAACAGAACTTTGGAGGGTACAGAGAGATTCAGGAATAAAAGATGGGGGGCAGGTGCCTGGAGGAGTATGGGGGGATGGGCACAAACAGGAAGAGGCCACATGTGTAAAGCCAGGGTACAGTGGCTTTGGCCTGCACACACCTAAGGAGTGGCCACATTTTTATTTTCAACATTTGTTCATTAATCTATTTATTATAAGGTAGAGCGACCGGAATAGAGAGACCAAAGATTTTTTTTTCTACCTGCTGGTTCACTCCCTAAAAAAAAAGTGCCCACAACAGTCAGGGCTGGGCCAGGCCAATGCTAGGGGTCCAGAACTCCACCGGGATCTCCTCTGTTGGGATGGAAGGGGACCAAAGTAGCAGGGATGGGAAACAGGTGCACAGGTATAGGAGGAGGAGGGGCACGGTGTCTGGGCCGGCTGTGAAGGAGGGCAGGGGCACCCAGGAGATGGTGCGGGGCCTGCAGGAGGGGCCAGTGCGTGGCACTCACACAGCAGCAGGCGGTGACGGTGATCTGGATGGTGTTGCGGCCTGGCTGGCACACATGCTTCAGGTGCAGGGGCTTGTGTGAGGTCTTGTTGTCGCCACGCTCGATGGTGAGGGGCGTGGCGTTGACGCTGACCTGCACCGAGGCTGGCCAGTTGGTGTTCATCTGCCGGTCCTCGTGATGGTAGCACTTGAACTGCAGCTCCAGGTCAGACCTAGGGTGTGGTGGAGATGAGGTGGGGTGAGGGTCGGGGGAGGGCTTCAAGCACCTTGGAGGGCACTGCTACCTGTGTCCCCCACCATGGCTTCTCCCTCCCCCAGCCTGGGCTTGTCCCTTGTAGCCTGCAGAGAGCCCCTCACACGTTTCCGATCAAAGGCCAGCCTGGTACACACTGCCCTGCCATTTCCATCCAGCACATGCTGTGTAGCTCTGCTTGCTGTCTGTCCCCAGGGTGCCCTTCTGCAGAGGTAAGTGGTCGACCCCCAGGACAGATGCTCAGCTGATAAAACCAGCTGTGAAGCAGGTTCAGCCAACTTCAGATCCCCAAGGGGAGCAGTCCCCCAACCCAGGCCACCTCTGCTGAGCATGTGCTGGCAAAGGCAACTGGGACCCTGGAAGTAACCACATATGCAGGACAACCATGCAGGCAGCAGGCTGCCCCTTCACCAGGTCAAGGGCACTGCTAGGTGAAGAGAGGGGCTCCCGTTCGCCCAGCAGGCTACACAGGGCCCGTCCTTGTGTCCTCCTGCCTAAGTATCTTGGACATCCAAGCCAGCTTGCTCTTGCGGTCTTGCTGCGGCCAGCTCAGCCTGGGGGAGGTGGTGACAAGGGGCGAGAGTACATGTGTGTGTGTGAGGACAAATGAGCACATGCCCAGTGTGGGTCCCCCTCTAGTCCCTAAGGCACTTTCTGGGAAGCTGGGGGCAGTAAAGGGTAGACACAGCACCCCTAGTCCCAACCAGGGTCAGACAGATCCTTGTCCGAGGAAGGACTGAGCGGGGAGAAATGCAGGGAACTGGTCCTCCTGCAGGCCTGGGCTGTGGTGTCAGGCCAGCCCCTGGCTAGCCATGAGAACACACAGGCGCTGATCGACGACTCTGCTCTCACTGCTCATGCCTGTCAAAGATGGAGAGCAGTGCCTCTTCCCAAGGCCAAAGCAGACCATGCTGCATGCTGGCTCTCATCGAGGCAGGAGATCACACTCAAAGTCATGACCACCCTTTCCTGACTGCCAAGTATGGACTAAGCCAAGAGCATCCTCCTCAGCCTTTGGCTCTGAAATGCCTTTCCCATCTCACTCTCCTTTCTCTTTTTTATTGGGATATCTGAAAGGTGCAGACAAGAGACCTCGCTCGAGCTGGTTCACTCCCCCAAGTGCCCACCACAGCTGGGGTGGGGCTGGAAGTCTAGAAGCACATCTGAGACTCCCAACACAGTGGGTGACAGAGACTTGAGCGCCTGACCCATCATCTGCTGCCTCCCGGGTTGCACATCAGCAGGCAGCAGGAACAGAAGCGGAGGGGAAACGAGAACCCAGACACTTGCATGTGGAACGAGGATGCCCCGAGCAGTCTCAGCTGGCCGATCCATAAACAGCTGCTTCAGCACTCAGGACTGGCCTGACGGGCGCACAGCCCCTGCCACCTTGTGCGCAGTACCCTGTGAGGGCAGAGCCCAGCACTCACCTCCACATCAGTGTCTGGTGGACCGTGGGCCGCAGGTGGAACACGTGGTTGCTGACGGCCAGGTTGTGCTCCAGGCGGAAGGGCTCCAGCACCACACCGTCCCGCACGGGGAAGGTGAGCCGCAGCTCATCGTTGTGGTTGGCTGGGTAGGGAGAGGAGCCGGGTAAGCCACTCCGGGACTTGTTTGGTGGGTGGGGTTTGCTCACCCACACTGATGTGCAGCCAGAGGCCAGGTGCAGATATCTGACCCCATCCTGCTGGGCCTCCCCTCTTCTCCACTAGAACCCCTTGCTCTGCAAATGCCCCAGCCTCACCCCCACCAGCTACTGCCGAGGAGCCTCCTTCTGTCCCCTTCTGCAGCTGGGAGCTGACTTTCGTTCTGGCCTCCAGCCACCTGGGCACGTGCTGAGAAAGGGGGCAGGCAGCCCAATCCCTACCCTGACTGTCCCTCTGCTCTCTAGTCCTCCTGTCTGTTCTGCATATGCACCCCACCCCGCCACCTGCAGGCAACCCTGTGGAGCTGTTCCAGGCAGCATGAGGCAGGGCACAGGTTCTCACCTGGGGGAGGCGGCAGGGCGCTCATATTTGGCTTGATATCAGGTGGGAAGGGGGGTTTGACGTCTTGGCTGGGGGACAGGTAGGGAGGGATGCTGCTCCCTGGGGTCATGGGGGGCGTGGGGTTTCCTGGGACAGGTGAGTGGGGGTAATTTGCCACAGGAACCGGCCTGGGAGGCTGCAGAGAGAAAACACACTCAGGTCATGTGATTGTGTGGGAAGGAGGAGCCGTGGCTATGGACCTGTACCACACTCTGCCAGCAGGAGGAGCTCTCCCTGACCCTGGGGAATCCCTCCCCCAAAAGACAGTGGGCCTTGGAAGGGCCACCCATCTCCTACATGAGCTTCTCTGGTGTCAGGTGGATACAACATCTCTGCCCATTTTTAAGTGGGTAGACTAAGGCTCAAGTGGCAAGGACTTGTCTGATCCATTTTGCCCATGTGTGCACCCCCAGCACCTCACCACCAAGATGCCTGCTTCCCCAGGAAAGCGGGAACCCCAAAATGCAGCAAATGTCTATGGTGGGAACTTTCACAGCAGAAGTTGACACATACCCTGTTGACGTTCCCTTGGCTATAGCTGCTGTAACTGCTTCCAGAGAAGGTGTTGTTTTGTCCATTAAACTGTTCTGGCTGTGAGAAACGAGAGAATCAAGGCTTTGGATGGCAGGCAGCAAACCGCCAGACTCTGCTCTCCCTCCTGCTGGGGGAAACCTACAGTGGAGTGGGGATGCTGGGGGTGGGGTGGGGCTGGCCAGCATCCAGCCTCTTTCCATGCACAGCTTTTTGTGTAGCCAAAGAGTTTACAAAGTAACCACAGCAAGTGGAGCTCACAGATTCTGAAGTGCCGGAATAGAAGCTGGTGAGATACATGTCAAATAGTGACATATCTCCCTGAGAATGTATTTCAGAAAAAAAAGAACAAGTCCATGTGCCCGAAAACAGTCACTCCGGGATTATTTCCACAGTGACACAACGCCTCCCCGATGCTCGATGGGGAAAGAACATCCAGCAGAATCCAAGGTGGCCCTTCACGGCGACAGAGATGGGCACATTCAGCATCGCTTACACTCACGCACTGAGGTTTCAAAAAAAGATTCCACGTTATGGCCTACAGTCCTGGCTTCAAAGCTGGTACTGTCACATGCAGGGGGCGTGGCTTCTGCCAACGGGCTTGGTTCACTGTGTTTCTTGTGCCTGTCGCCCATCAGAAATGGAAGAGCCTCGAGCCCCAGGAGGACAGGAACAAAATCAGCTCTGACCACACAGGGACATACTCAGCTCTGACTATACAGGTACATCCAGGAACGCCCGCTTGCCCAACTGCCCCTCAATATCCTCAGGGCTCACGCAGGCAGGATGAGGGGCTTGGGAGACAGCCGTGGGTGCAACTCACCTTGTAATACTGCCCCATGTTGACCGTGGGGGGCGGGTATTGCCCGGTGCTGGGCTGGCTCGGCATCCTTTGCCCGGGGTAGTTGGGAGAGGTGAGCGGCCTTGGAGGGTTGGGCGTGGGGTACTGGCCTGGCTGGGTGGGGAACTGGCTGTTTGGTCCGTATTGCTGGTTTCCATAATTGGGCTGTGGTGGCAGATAAAGGACATGGGGAAAGTCATCAGTGACCTGCCAGGGCATACCTCTGATGCCCCAAATCTTTCCTGGCCCTAACTGACGCCCAGTCTGCTTGACTCATTGCCCACTTCTTTCCAAGGACACCTGTAGCCACTTGCCTGTGCCATTGGGATGGGGGCTCTGCACTTTCCAGCCCTTCTCCGTCTTTCTCTAGCCCGTGGCTCCAGCTTATATACCTCAGTGCAACCAAGGAATGTGAACAATAGGAAGGCCATGTGGCTGTATCCTGAGGCTCTATGTGTGGGGCTGTCTCACCTTCAAAGGACAGACCACACCCTGGCTGGGCAGAGCCTGGAAGAGACTGGCTGCTGCACAGAGACCACTCCATCCGAGAGAGGCGCTGCGTAAGAACAGCCAACAGTGCCACCTACAGCCACCTTTCTGCTTACATGGGAATCTGGCACTCTAGGCTTACAGGTGCAGCTGGACACTGCCTCAGGGGTTGGTGAGGGGGAGGCCCTTAGTCAGCATGTGCTCACAAGGGCCCCAAATGAAGGGCCTCAGAGTAGGTGCCCAATGGCACCAACACGGAAGGACATCCTGCAACTCATGAGGCTGCAACGCAGCAGCTACTTTGCCTGACTGTGACTTCCATCACCAGACAGATGGAAGCAGTTGCCCACCAGGCTAAAGAGATGAGATTTATGAGGGACCAGGAGCCTTGACTCCGGGCGGCCCATTCAAACGCAGGATGGGTCGGGCTGGGGCTCCTGGGAGGCACTGCCAGAGCCAGACAGTTTTAGCTAGGCAGTAACAGCACACCATGAAGAGGGTGATGGGCCCAAATGTCCAGGAGTCTGACAGCAAGTGAGTCCGCGTTGGGGTAGATGCAAGATGGCGCTAGGACTGAGCAGCTCAACATTCTGAGGGACAGCAGGTGCATTCCTGGGCAGTCAGGTGGGGAGGCAGGCAGTGTGAGCTGAGGGAGCCCTGAAGCCCTCTGAGGCTCTCTCTGTGGGGTTCTCATGGGAGTCACAAGGAGCTGGGGGGATGTGAGGAAGAGTGGCAGCTCATGGTCCCCCCGAGGATAGCCAGGGCCTGGGGGTTGGGAGGCAAGGGGCAAGGCTTGACACAGCCACCTGGGTGACGGAAGAAGCCCCTGCTGTCCCTATCTTGAGCTGAGGATGCCTCTGCAGTTGCTGAGACACCCAGCCCATGCCAGGGTGGACACTAAAGGGACACTGCACGGACCTGTCCATCCAGGAACTTGAGGTCTTCGGAGTCTAAACCCACTGCCAGGCCAAGCTCAAGGCCACGGTCCTGAGACCAGAAAGGAAGAGCAAGTTGTTCTGAGAAAGGGTGCGTAAGCAGAGGGCTGGGACCCCAGACTCAGCCAGGGGCTTCAAGGCTGAGCAGTACCGACTGGCTGCTGCTGGGGAACTCAACCCGCCCCCAGGTACCCGGATGGGCCCACAGGAGCTGCCAACTTATTGTCTGTGTGTTGGGGGCCCTGGACACCCGGGCCCCTGCTTAGGACGCTTTTAAGTCCTGGGGTGGTGGGTGGCTAGGCTAACCGATGAAGACATCTGCACGCCCCTACAAGAATACGGTCTAGCTCCTAATTCCAGCTCCCTGCTAATGCTCGCCCACACGGGACCTTCCCTCAGTTTCTGAAGGCACTTGGGGGGTGGGGGAGGGAATGATTCTGCAAATGGGATGCTCTCTGCCATTCAAATAAACATAACTGAAAGCAAAGCAAAAAAAAAAAAAATCCTTTACTGGCCTGCTACAGTCTCAAGGTGAGGGCTCCACACTTTCCTAAGTCTTCCCAACACCTTGGCTCAGCTGGCTGGACAGCCCAAGAGGCCATGTGGCGTGCAGCGGGAGAGCAAGTGACCACTAAAGGACAAGCACAGAACTCACTACCTGCTTCCTGGGCACTTGCTGCATGTGCCCAGCTTTATGCAGGGAAAGGGTTTTTTCTGTGCTCACTCTGTGGCGGGGAGGAGGTGGAAACCTTCTCAAGGGCATGAACAACCCTTGAACAACCCCAGGGTTGCATCACCCAGCCAGTGCCCAAGCCAGGACCGGCAGGCAGCAGTAACAGCAGCTACTGCTTGCTCATCAGCTCCACCTGCTGGCCAGAGACAGAACACTTCATGAGCAAGCTCTTCAGCAGGGGGCAGGCCGGAGGATGGGTCGGAAGCCGGAGTTCACCAAGGAGCACAAACACGACTCGGCAAGGGCCCAGGTTAAGAGTAGAACTCGCTCAAAAGCTTTAGCAGGGCCAGGTGTCAAACCCAGGAATGCTGACTCCCGCCCCAAGATCCTGGTTCTGGAGGTGGTGCCAGGCCCCTTCTAAAGCATTGCCCACAGCCCTTGCGTCCTGCAGCCTGCAGCCTGGGCCTCCCACCTCCTCACCTATCTGCCCCTGTACTCACCTCTCCTGGGTACGGCCTCTTTAGGCTCTGAATGGGAAGGGACTGGGGCCGGGGGCCCGGGTAGGTCTGCTGGGGCATCCGCTGCCCATGTGTGCCAAAGGGGCTGATGCCGGGCGGCCGGGGCTGGTTCATGCCCATGGGAGGGCCGCTCATCCCCGAGGGCGTCATGCCAGCCGCCATGCTGGCAGGGTTCATGCTGCCCCCCATGGAGGCAGGCCCCCGTGGCCCGGGCTGGTTCATGAATTGGCTGTTATACGCCTGGGTGGGACCCATCTGGAAAGAGGAACAGACCTTCAACGGGAGAAGAAGAAGAAAAAAAAAAGAATAAAATGCCACATGCATTGAAAGTGCAGGAAGGGAAGGGTGGGGGGGGGGTGGGTTGAGAGAAGGGGCATTTTCCTGTGTGGCTGCTGGTGGACAGACCCCAGGAGAAGGCTGTCCTGGGAGGGAGCTTGCTGCTGCCCTCTGCAGGCTGCACAGGAAAGATGCCGCTCAGGGGTGTTAGGGGGTGGGGCGCAGTCACTCCAGTGCGCAGGCAGCATTTCAGGGGGGAGGAGGGGCAGGCAGGGAATAGAGGAGGAGGTGCAGGGACTGGGAAGGGCACGGAGGGTGGAGGTGGATGAGGATGGAGGTAGGAGCCCCAAGGAGATTGAACCTTGGTGTCTGGAAACCGTGGTCCCACTGCAGGTCCCCCTGCCAATGGAAACACTCCTCCCACCTGCAAAGTTCAGCTGGACCCTGGCTTCCAGCTCCTCCCACGGCCCTGCTGCCTGCCCGCCCCTGCCTTGCACTCCTCTGGGGACTCCGGCTCTCCTCCCATCCCCTCCATCCTTTAGAAGACCTGGGGAGTAGGGTTGGGGTGTGGTGAGGAAGGCCAGGACAACAATGGTCCCAGAGACCACTTGAGGGACAGACTGGGAACAGGGTCTGTGCTCCCATAAGCAGGACGCCCAGGGAGCAATCTGGAAGCTCATTCCAAACACAAACACACACACACACACACACACACACACACACACACACACCCTAGTTATCTGCCACACCAAACTACACTGCCACACCCACGCATACGCCCCTGCATGAACTTCTACAAAAACCCAAATACACCCACACCCTCACACCACCAGTTCCCCATTTTCACCAACACCCTGCCTCTGATTCCCCCAGGGACTGTCCACCTCACAGACTGCACCAGGATGGGTGGGGGTCCTTACCGGTCCATACTGGTTCATGTCCTTGTTCTGCGTCTCTTGCAAGGCTGCCACGGTGGCTGTGGCCGTGGCCGTGGCTGTGGCTGCCGCTGCCGCCACTGCTGCTGCTGCAGCGGCTGCTGCCGGCTGTGTAAAGTCAGCAGGTGGCCTGGTGTGAGGAGGGATGCCCATGCCGGCAGGGGCGCTAGGACCCCCAGGGTAACTGCGTGGGAAAGGATGCAAGAGTTAGAGTTTGGGTCTGCAGAGGGACCTGTGACAAGCTCTGAGTGGGAACATGGGCTTCCCAGGACTGGGTGAGCAGCCAGCTGCTGTGACCTTGGAGCCTGTGCTGGGTGCTGAAGGCCAGTGGGTGTTCCTGCTTGGCTGTACCCAGCCCACTTCATGCCCCTGTAGTTCCTTCCTTCCTTTTCTTGGGATAGAGGAACTCCCAGTATTGGACAGCTCTGCTTCCATACATACCCCAGCAAGACAGAACAGATAGCTTCAATTGTTTTTGGGCAACTGGTTGACCTGTCTCACTATCCAGCTATCTTTTCCAAGGTAGCCCATTCCCTGTCTCCAAGTTTATACTCAAAGCAGAAAAGAAGCTTTTTCATCCCTCCTGGGACCAAGGGCCACTAGAAACCAGGGACAGAGCTTCTCCATGCTAGTAGGGTCTGGGAACACAGAGCTGGGATATAAACTGGCTCCTCCCACCTGGGTGGCTTGAGGAAATCAGGGTCAGCACTCACCTGGCACCAAAACCCCCACTGCCGGGGTAGTTGGGCCGGCCGTACATGCTCTGCTGGATGTAGGGCTGCGCGGGGCCGGCCTTGGCCGGGAACTGCTGCTGCTGCCCAGCAAATTGCGGGGAGTTGAGGCCGGGGTTGCTGGTGGTCATGCCTGATGCCATGGGGTTGCCGCCTGGATTCATGGGGTTGTTGGCATTGGCCATGGGGTTCCCAAGGACCTGGGGGCAGGTTGAGAGAATGTCACAGGGCTGCAACCCCAGGTACCCACATGGTCGTGTTGGAGGCGAGGAGGGAGAAAAGCAGGTGGTACATGAGGTAGTGGTGTGGGGCGGACAGTCAGGGCCATGCAGAGGTTGTGTGTTGGTGGGGAGGTGGGGGGCTTGCGTTAAGGTCACTGGCACCCTCCAGCCCTGGGACTTCTATATGGCTATGGCCAAGGTGGGCAGAGAAGCCTGGGGCTAAGCATTGGGACTGTCAGAATGTTTCATGGGACTCTGCTCTGGGCCACTCTGTTGGACCAAGTCCACATGGGATAGAGAAAAACCCTCTGCCACATTGTCACATGTCAAGGGCAGCCACTCCTCCTGGAAGGTCATGAGAGGAGGAAGAGACAGTCCCCAGGGACCAAGCCCCTAAGGAAGGGCAGGCCCTTCCTGCATCCCACAGTGGGGACAGAATCTGAGAGGGAAGCGGATGGCATGGCATCCTGTGGCTGGGAGAGGATCCCTCCTGCCACCCGCCTGCCCCTGCTCTTACCTGGCTCTGGGATGTGTTGGTCACTCCCCAAACAGTGGTGACCACGGACAGGGAGCCGGGAGGCTGGTTGGTGTTTTGCTGCCAAGGGACAGAGTCATAGGGGAAGGACCCATCACTGCGGAGGGAGGGAGAGAGAGAACAGAGTCTTAGGGGCCAGTGAGTGCAGGCTTGGCCAGAGCTTGGCAGCTCGCACACTGTCTAGGGGTGCCACTTAGGCCTGTCAGAGGTCTGACACAGCAGAGGTGCACCTGCTGGGACACGGCTTCTCTAACTCTACCATGGAGGCCGTCACACTGTGTGTCACCTCAGCTCAGAGTTTGCAGGATGCACTCCTAAGCCAGCAACGTGGGACGGGGTCTCCCTAAGCCCTAGTTCTGGCTCCAAGAGGCCTTTGAAGAGGAGCTGGGCTCCCCTTCACTCCCTCTGCCTCAGAACGACCAGGCCCCCCTTCAGTGAGGACCGTGAGGGTCTGGCTCCCCAAGTCCTGTGGCTGGCCTATGGAACATACGCTTCCCTGCGTCACCCATTCCTCCTGACCCTGGGCAATGCTGCCCCACCTCCTACGTTGTCTCTTGCACATCCTCTGAGCTCATCTCCTCCCTTGATCACCTGAGAGCCTGTGCATGAAGTCCTCCGTGGCTTCCTTGTGTATGAGGCCAAGTCCACACTCAAACTCGAAATCACTGACTCGGTGAGCCGCCCCCACCGCCCCAGCCCCATTTAGCCTAGGAGCTACTCTTGGACTTGGTCATCATGCTCCACAGTGCCCATCATGTCTTGGGACAGACGCCTCCCCAGGAAGCCCACCCTGTCCCACACATAAGGACTTAACCTCAGATCTTAGCTCTGTGCTGAGACCTGCAAAGAGCATTTATCCAGGTCTGCCACTAACTGTCCTGGTGCCATAGTGGGGCTCTGTAGATCCAAGCGGGTGGCAAAGGGAGAAGGGTGCTAGAGTGGGGGGCTGAGGCTGTCCTCCCCCCTCCTGTCTGCATGGCCTGCAGGTTTAGGGTTGGCTGAGTGGGCTCCTGCCATTGAGCACAATTCCAGGGGCTGTGTGCCGCCCCCCTACCTTCCCATCCCTCCACCTTCCAACTGCTGCACAGGTGTTCTCAAAGTGGACACTTCTGGGCAAAGAAGCAGGCTAGCTTCTGGTAAGACACATTCTCCAAGCCCGATGGATGGCTTTCCCCCTTTGCTGAACTTGAGCAGACTTCACGTACCCAGCCCTCCTACCCTGCTGCAGAGCTCCTACCCCAACACACACACACACACACAGCTGGAGCTGCTGCACCCACAAAGGTGCTGCACTCAGGGATGCTCTGGTTTTCTCAGGCCTCTGGGGCTCTGAACGGGCAGGTGGTCCCTCAGCTACACAGGCAGTAAGCAGCCCAACTCTTTCTATTGTAGATATTACCCCAGTCCCTGACATTTTGGGGAATGAATCGATGGATGGAAGATCTCTTGCTGTGTCACTGTGTCTTTCAAATAAATAAATTCTATATGCATCTATACATGCATGGGGCTCGTATCCTGCCTGGGTGGGCTGGGCAACATTCCCAACTGTAACTTAACACAAGCCAGAAACTATCTTTTGCTCTAACTATTGTCCCTGTGACCCTAGCAACCTGCAGTTCCACTCAATATCCAGTGCAGATGCAAGGTCCTGTCCCAGAACTTGTGTGGTCCAGCTCAGGAAACAGATCACCCCAGCCACTACTACTTGGGAGCCCTCTGGAACCTGGCAGAGTTCCCCCACAATCTCTACTGGGACTGGGGGGCAGCAGCTGATAGCTGGTCACCTCGGCAAGGAGGTCCCGGCTCATCGGGAACGCTGTGTTTGAGGTCCACAAACAACAAGCTCCCAAGTACCCTGCAGCTCCGTGGGTGGGCCTTGTGGGCGGAAACCGGCTCCTTCCTGTTTCACCCCCGCTCCCCTAACCTCGGTGAGAAGCAGCATTCATCCGTGTTCCCAAACTGGGCATCATGCCCTGGCTGGCTGGAAGGTTCTTGCACACATGGCAGGCACATGAACATTGGGAGACAGGACGTGTACCCACACCCTGGGCCCTGCTGGCACATGGCCGCACACGTGTACCTGGAGGGGTGGACTCAGAGCTGGCTTTGTCGCCACATGCACCTGCTACAGAAGCAGAAGTGGCAGTTGCACCGATGGCTGTGACTCATCTGGGGGGAAGAAGGCTCCTGTTGTGGCAGCCGCGGCCCCGCCCCCACTGGCCCACCACAACCACTGGCCTTGCCCCTTTTGACTGGACAACCTCCCTCCCCTAGGGGCTGCCTGGCTCTTGGACTGCTTGCTAGCAGAGGTAGAAGCCTGGCTGGGGAGAAAGGAGGGAGCAACAGAGGTGACCTAGAGAATGGTTCATCAGGGGTTGGGGAACATGTGGCCCCGGAAATCATCAGCTCTGGCCCTGCCAGAGTGGGACTTGGAAATTCACTAACTTTATGACAGATCTGTTTTTTGAGTTGATAATTTTGCAGGGCCTGTGAATGAGCTTCTAAGTCCCCAAACGGCCCCTGGCCTAGGGGCACTCCGTGTGTGTGTTGTGTTTGTGTGCTGGGAAGGAGCTCCTGAGACTGTCTCTCCCTCACCTCAGATCAGCACGGTCTAGCCTGCAGCTCAGACGCCCACTCCCCTTTGTACACCCCTCTCACCCTCTGGGGCCTGGTTTTGGGCCATAAGCTGTCCCCCTCCCACACAGACACCACAGCCAGAGCCCCCTGGGGAGTCCTTAACAACCTGCCAAGAGTCCTAACCTGGGGGCAGCTACAGCCTATCTCTGCACCTGTGCTTACCCAAGGACTCCCAATGGGCCTGAATTGCCCCTCTCATCCTGCCTAGGTGCCTCCAGAAGCCACCTCCTCCAGGAAGCCCTGACACATCGGCCTCTGCACATTGCTGGGGCTCCCAGGATAGCCCTGCCCTTTTTCCTTCTGCCCCAGGAGCCATCTTCACACACCCATGGAGCTCAAGGAGCATCTACTGAACAACAGCACCTGCTTGTGCAGGTTACTGGAGGAATGCTGGGAAGGAATGAAGTCATGAACTGGTGCGCCCAGCACCTGCCTCCAGGGTACTGGCACTCGGGGCCCAGAAGGGCCAGGTCCTGGCTCCTCTGTTGGCCAGCAGTGAACGAACACATGAGTGTGATGGCACCAGGTCACAGAAGCGGCCACAAGCACACAGGCCCTTGGATGCAGGCAGAAACTCAGGCACAGGGAGAAGAAAGGGATGACTGAGGCCCCCGGCTGGAAGGCAGCAGAACTGCAGCTCCACTCCGCTCCTCAGCAGCCCACCCCTCGGTTCATGACCCCACCTACTACTCCCAGGGGCACGGGGGCTTCCTCTGCCCAGGAATCTCTCCCCTGGGTCCCCCACCCCCAGCCTCGATCATGCCCCTGGAAGAGGAAGAGTGGCCACCCTTGATCTTGGAGTCTTCCCCTGCTCAAGCTGGCTTTGATTGTAATCAAATTAACAGCACAAACCAGATTTATTAGGCTCTTAATTACCTTTGCAGCGCTGATTTGTAAACGGACAACATGCTAATCACAAACGGCTCATTAAAAAACCTGGGAGAGGAAGGCATGGAGGGATCCATGTGGGCATCGAGTCTGCACCACCATGGGGATATGGCAAGTGTCCTGTTGCCCAGTTACTGGCTGGGACACCCCAAGGCCTCTCCTGGCCTCCCTAGTTCCCCTGGAGTGTTCTGGAACTCTGGCCTGGACGACCCTCCCAAATGGCCTTAGAGAGTATGAGGGCCTCACCTGGAGGGGCAGCCCAGGTCAGGTCCCGACACAGAGCCCTGGATCATGGCATCAGCCCTGGTGACTACGGTCACCGCCAAGTGCTGATCCTGCTGTCTCTAGAGGTGGAGGTGGGGGCCCTAAGCCTTGGGGCTCTGCATTTATCCTCACTCTCAACCCTCAGAACCTGCAGACAAGACCACCCCTCTGCTCCCAACAAACTTCAAACAGCCAGAGTCCTCCAAGCTGCATATCTGAGCATCCCAGGGCACTTGGTCTCAGCTCTGAGCTGGGGTCCCCTGCTCCACGCGACACAACTGTTGTGAGGAGATACTGAGACAAGCCATACTGAGACACGTGGAGGAGGGCTCCCCACCCACTCTGCCGTGGGCACATGAGGGGCTAGCAAGATGATGGCCACGCCAGAGCAGCCCAGCACACCACGGAGGCTTGCCCTGGGTAAAAGCACGGCTCCTACAGGCAGTCAGAGTCAGCCCCACGGGTCTCAGGCCTGAGTTAAGGGCCAGGGGTTCTGGCTGCTGGTACTCCCCAGTCCCAATTGACCTCAGGTGGAAGGATGGATGGCTTTCTTTTCAAACCGGGCTAATTACTAGACGCCAACACCCACTGCCTTTGGGTGTCCAGCAAGGCACGGTGTGTTGTTGAGTGCCCAGCTCTGACCCTGGAGAGCTGTGTGTTCCTGGGCAGGTCACTTTCCTACCTTAAACCTGGGTCTCTTCTGCTTTCAAAAGGCCATGGAGTAGCATGCCAGAGTGATGCTGGAGTTCTCAGACTACTTCCTAAGAGACCTAACCCAGGGAGCTGAACTTGGGGTGGCAGCGCTAGAGAGCAACCCCAAGCACTTCTCAGAAAACCTGTTTAAATTCACAAATCACACCTGCTCACTCTCAGCCCAACGTCCTTCAAGGTCTAGATCTTCCTGCCTCCAGATAGCCTCCTAAGTAGCCAGCCCTCCTTCTGAACTCCAGGTCCAGTCCTGTCACCTGCCCTCCAACTCCAATCCTGCAGTATTCTCTTAGTTCTTAACTTGATCCCAGCTATGTTCAAAGATGTCCTGGGATTTGCAGCCGAGCCAGGAGCAAGGGGAGGAAGGGGGGCGGCGGCAGGGTTGGCTTCTCTGGAGCAGGGGTGATGCCTCCACCCCCTAAAACGTGTGTGGACATTCCTGCAGCCGGGATGCTTGGGAGAAAGGGACAGCCAACAGAGGGGGAGGCGCAGTCATCGAACATGAAAGGACCAAGATTCTAAATGCCAACCAAAGGGTTGCACCACAAAAAACTACCCTGGCTCCATGCCAGCCCACAAGGGACAGGCACACAACTGCAGGAGAGAGGCAGCTGGAGCTGTCAGCAGTCAGGTCTGGAATCCAGCGAGGCAGTGACCCTGGGTGGTGACAGGCTGCCTGTGGCACAAAGCACTTCTGACCGAGGCAGGTAACCACGTGTCAGGAGCCATCCTGCCCAGGCAGGGCGCCGGCCCCCGACTAAGTGCTAAGGTTCTTTGCAACTCCAGGAGTCAACAAGCCTCTAATTTGATTTATAAAGCATGGCTGGCACCTGAGTTGCGGGCAGCGCCTTGTCGGGGTGACCCAAGGCTGCCTGCTGCGTGCTCCAGACCGCAGGTCCCTCCGCTCGGTCGCGCTAGATAATGAGAGCAGAACTCTGACTGCAAATACCCCTCCCGGTCCTTAGCAGGGGTGCACCCAGGGAGCGTGGGCACACGACAGGCCTTGTGAGTGCAGGGTCAGCCTGCAAGAGTGTTGGCACAGAGTTGCCCCAACTCGGTAAGGGACTCAGGAGATGATGAACCAGGGACATTGCTGGCTGGGCCACTTGTTCAGTGTCTGGCCTCACTGCTTCCAGCCAACCATGCCCGCCTCCTGCCTGGGACCCTGGCTGCTGGTGGCTCTGGTCTACCTCTCATTTCTCTAAGTTTACCCAAGAGCCTGCTCGGGAAGGTCCTGAGTTCAGGATATCCAACTCCTCCCCCCACCGTTGACTGTCAGGCTGGGAGCCTGGGACTTGGTGTGCCAACACCCCCCCCTGCCTAACGGGACAAAGCAGGCAGGCTAGGGGAGAGCCTCATGGATCTGAGAGATTAGCAAGTGCATTTCAGATGATGCAAAACCCATCTACCTTCCCCTAAGCCCTCCGAGCCCCTCCCCTGTCACCTCTCTAGAGGCCCTGTCCCCTCGGCCCCCTCACCTGTGTGACAGAGTGGGTTTCATGGAGCTCATGGAGTTGAGGGGGGGCTGCATGGGGAGTTTCCCAGGGGCGTCGCTCTGGCGGCTCTTCTGATGCCGCAGCAGCAGCAGGCGGCCGAGTTCTTCACACCAGGAGGACAGTAGCGCTGCGGGGAAGAAGAGGACGGTCAGTGAGCACCCTGGCCACCACACACACCCTCTCTGCACCAGCAGTTGCTGACACCGACCTGGATTCTGAAATTCATAGGACAATCTCAGAACCCTTAGAGCCCGGAGAGGCCTTGGTGTTCCCTGCTGTAAAATGGAGCATTTCACATACAGCACCCAAGGAACCTAACACACGGCTTGCTGCCCATTGGTTAGCTCAAATGTGGCTCCTCCCGTGGGTGGCATTAAAAATCACAAGGCTTAGACCCAATCCACAGGGCTCCCTGTGAAATTCCACCTAGCAAACACTCATGTAGCAGCGCATTCTTTCCAGCTATCTGCGCACCTGGACACAAATATTTGTGAGGACAAAGAATTTTGGAGCAGAGGGTTCTGGGCACCCCAAACAGGACACAAGAGCCATGCACAGCAAGGTGGAGAGGGTCTGTCAGGAACAAAGTACTGGGGGCATGAGGGGTCTTCCTTCCTACTTCATCATCCCGAGGTGGCCATCAGGGGCCAGTGGCACTGCTGAGGTCCATGTGTACCAGTTGGCCACCACGCTGGCAGGTCCTTCCAGAGCTTTGCAGAGCTGAGATTTGGGGTGCAGAGATGGAGGTAGAGAGGCTGGGCCTCAGGTTGCTTAGGAATAAGGAGAGTGGAAAGATTTTCCCTACACTCCTTCCCAGAATTGGAAGAAATCTGTGGACGCTAAGCAGAAGCTCAAAGGTTGACCTTGACTCAGCAAATGGCCCACTCCTGCCACATCCAACAGAGTGCTGCAGGGCATGGCCAGGGACTGTCTGGACCACATCTGCTCAGCCAACCTTCCTTTAAGAGGCCCACCCCTGGACACAATACAACACGCATTTGCATTGGCCCGACAGGAAGCTGGGTATTAGCTGCTATAATTTCCCATTCTACAAAATGAACAGATGCAGGCTCAGGCAGGAGGATTCATCGTAACCCCCCAGTGAGTGTCTGCACCAGACAGGAAGGGAGGAAAAGAGACCCTGCAAGAAGCCAAACCTTCAAGTGCTCAGAGCCTCCCAGTCCTGACATTCAATGAAGATACCCCCTTAGGCCCCACTGAGCTCAAGAGGTCCTAGGGGCAGAGCCAACATGCACAGAGACCAGGAGGGTCTGGATATGGTTGTCATTTTAGGCTGTCCAGATCCTGGATTAGGGAGGGTCCCTTTCCCCTTGAAATCCCAAGTGGAAAAACCATGACTGCTGAATACACCTGCTGGGATGATGCAGAATGCAGAGATGCTCAACCACAGATCTTCTATGGAGGCACCTGCTTCTCCTTCCTGGATGGTCTCAGGCTACAAAGATACAGCCAAGCCCTCTCCACAAGGTCACCTTGTGTGAGAGGAGAGGCCCCTCACCTGACAAACGCCACTGTAAGAGGACCCCAGCCCACACCTGCAGCAAGCAAAAACGAGTTTTCAGATCGTTCTCCCAGGCTCCTTAGTTACGGCTGCTCGTGCGGAGACACTGGGCATCTGGAAACTCATTTGCACGCCAGGCACGAGGCCCAGCGGATCGCAGCAATGGAGGGCCGGCTCTCTTGCCAGCACAAAGGATGGCCGCAGATGGCGCCGCCTGCTGCCCACCCCGCCCCTCCCAGCCCTCACTCCTCTGTGCCAGGCAGGGGGGCGGGAGCACCATGGGGGATTCGGGGCTTTCCTCCAATGTCACGGGCCGCCGCCTGCCTGGCCAAGGACATCCTAGTGGAGTGGCTTTCCGTGAAGGGAACACGGCAGCCTGACTTTGTGGCAGGCAGGCGTGATGTGTGTGTGATAGCCACAACTCAGCACAGCTGCTGGCAAGGCCACATTCTAACCAAGGAAGAAAGAAGGGGGAGTTGAAGGGGAGGACCCACCACCCCTCACCCCCCCCCAAGGCTGGCCACAAAGGGGCTTATGGACAGCCCTGAATGTAGTGGTGCCAACCAACACAAGGGGTTCCAAAGTTAACGCTTAACCACAACCCGCAGCAATCTGCAGCCCAACACGGTGTCTGGGCACTGTCAGAGAAGCAGGTGGAGGCCTGTTCAATTGCAAAACAACATAGGCTGGGGGTGCCAGTCCAAGCTGGGAATCCCTGCATGGGTCTGACCTGCCTTTGACCTATGTGCATGCCGGGTGGGGCATGACTAGCCCCAGGATGAGGTGGGCGGGGCAGGAGGGCGTGGTGTGATGTGCCAGGGTGTGCTGGCAACGGGAGGGAAGCTAGTCTCACCCTGAGCCCTGTCTGAAGATAGATGGGGCGAGGCGTGGCCCTTGGACTGCTGGGAAAACCCGCCCTCACCTCGTCCCCTGAGCTCTACTTTGGGTGCTGACAGCACTGGCCTGAGAGCACTCCCCCCTTTTCACACAAGAAGCACAGCTGAATGCATCACAAGATGGCCTTGGGCAATGCTTCTGCTTTCCCTTATGGGACTGGGCTGGCTGGCTGCAGTCCAGAGCACAAGGCCCCTGCACATAGCACTCAGAACCGTGGTCGCCCTTGGTGGAGCTGAGAACCACAGCACGTGCTGAGGGGGCGTGCAGAGGCTTGTGGGCTCCGACGTGCATTCTCCTTGGACCCTTAGCAATCTGGGTGTCAGAGTGTGCGTCTGTGGGTGGGGGAGGGGGCTTTGCCTGTCAGAAACCAGCAGGTAGGGGGCTGCTGTGAGCAGAGGCAGGCTGGACCCCTCTCCTGGGGCTGATGGTGCAGCTGAACTAGCACCTCTGGGCCGGGCCTCTGTAGTAGTGAGATCTGTGCTGGGCACATCTAGCGCAAATCCATCTTTCCCAGTGCCTAGGGTGATCCCTAAAGACCCACACACACAATCCCACACTAGAGGGGGAGTTATGCCGTAAGCAGATGTGCAATGAGTTGTCAGGGAATCCTGGTAGGAAGCTGGGCTCTGCACCAAGCCCCATTCCCCACCACCCTCCCCAGTGCCTCCAGGCACCATGTCAAGGGCCTCAAGCTCTTCCAGCTGACCTCAAGATGCTCACAGCTGGAGCCCAGGCAATGGACAAAGGCTTCAGACCCCAAATGCCAAATCTGGGTCTCAAGTCTGGTTTCCAAGCACTCCCCATCATCTCAGTGTCAACTCAGCAGGCCTAGTCTGACTCATCACCCTTGTTACCAGGTTCCCACACATCTCAGGCTCCAAGGTATTTGGCCACTCACTGCATAGTCATTTGACAAAGACCAGCGAAGTGTATCTGCATGCAGAGTCCCTGGTTGGGGCCTTCACTGAAACCCTGAATGGCACCCACTGCAAAGTCCAAGCCACTCAGGAGGATGTGCAAAGCCTGGTGGGCTGGGGCAACCTTGACGTTCACCCAGCCTGATCTTTGCGGAGAGATCTGCCCTGTGGTTCAGACCCAAGGACCTTGATGGTTTGGGATTGAGGCCCAGGTGAAGGATTTACAGTGCTGCATGACCATGGACAAATGGCATGATCAAATAACAGCTGCTCCTTAGGGGGGTGATGTTTAGATGACATGAGTGCCCCAGCAAGTGTTTAAAGCAGTGTCTGCAAGGCAGGTCGTGGCCTGGCCGGTGGTCTCAGCAGAGCAAATGCCCGCTGTTCCCAGCAAGTGCCTTTGCCCAGTGGGCTCCAGACCCACCTCTGGACATCATGTGACCCCATGCCTCTTCTTGGCTTCCACAGAGACCCTTCACTGAACGTGTGCTTCTACAGGGCTCATCTCTAATGCTTCTTCGTCTAGGACACCTTCCTAGCTCCCAGGGGGCACCAGTGCCCACACCAGGCCCGGCAGGGGAGTGGGGAATGACGGCAGAAGAACCAGGAGCAGTGATGGCTGCATATGCTGGCCCTGAAGTCCACAGACAGAGCCTGAGATTTTACAGACTGCTTCACTGTTGGGACTCATGTCTCCCATCTGTAAAATGGGCTTCCACAGAGGGGTTCAGATTAATATTATTGCTCAATCCAGAAGGTCTATGTAGGAAGTGCAAAGCCCAGGGACCCCATGCCCCAGTGATGTCACAGAGCATCACAGCAGCTGATGAAGAATGGCCCCAAGAGGAAACCCACCAGACATGATCCTGGCTCTACCTGCTTCCGTGGGACCCCTCAAGCTGACCCTTCCAGCACCTCCAGCAGCCTCCTCTCCCAGGGGATGAGCTGAGTTGCCACCCTGGAATGCAGGCACAATGACAGGCTCATACAATCAGTGCCAGATGCATGCAGTAACAGAAGGCATCATCAGCCTTGGTCGGCAGAGGAATGCACAGAACAATGGCTAAGAGGCGTGGGCAGCTCTGTCACTTCTGATCAGAGCATGGCAGGCAACGGAGCCAGCGTCCTGGGCACACACAAAGCTCCAGAAGTTTCCACGGGATGGGCGTAGGACCTGCTGTCCCTCAGGCCAGGCCCTCTGGCAGACAACGGGGACCTTCCTGTTTTCCTTGGTGAGCCGCCACCCAAGGCCACAGTGAGGTGTCCTGATTTGAGGCACAGCAAAAATCCATTCCCTGTCTTCAGGCAGTTGCATTTTTGCTACAGCCAGGGGGAGGGCACATGGGGCCCCAGAAGGAAGCCATTTCTGCTTCCTCAAGTTCCCTTGGGCTCCTGCAGCAAGAGCAGGGCCTCAGGGTCCACCACAGCCCACACTCAGGCCTGGCATTTCTGTTGGCACCACAGAGCCCTGGCTTTCAGCAGCCAAGATCCAGACAGTCAAGGTCAGCTCCACCAGCAAGCAGCAGCCTGCTGTCTGCACAAGAGCTACAAGAGACATTAAGGGTTCCTGTTAGCTCCCTCCATGCCTGGAGCTTAACTCGCAGACTAGGTTTTCTACAAGCAGCACCAAGTCTTATAGTCAGTGGTGTGATGGGTGGTATGTGTGTGTCCCTTGTTGACGGCACTAGGCAGGGAAGGGCAGGACATGGCCAAAAGAACCCTGGGAGGATACAAATGGGGTTCCATCTCCCAATAAAATCACTTGTGACATATTTTCAAGTGCTTCTGCCC